CAAGACTCAAAACTAGGACTCAACCTTAATTCTTAGGCCCGAGCCCAATTCTTGGAGCTTGAAGTTCTTTTTATGTAGAGGAAAGACCTACATCGCACAACCTCTATAAAAGGATGACTATAGATAATTAAATTTTGAGCTAATTAAGTGACGACAAGTGTAAAAATTTATATGAAATCATTTAAATAACTTTATATTTTATTTGAGACAATAATTGAATTATACTTTCTAAATAAAATGGTTAATTAGTTGATTATTTGTTATATATTGTCAGTAATTAAAAATGTCACGTGTATATTTTGAAGGGCAACTAAAGAATGTCACGTGTCATTCTCTTGAAAAATAAGATAATTAATTATCTCTCTTGATAGTTATTATTAAACAAATAAATATCGAAAATTGATGTAATTATCTCTTTAAAATAATTATATATGGGATAAGTATTGAAAATTAATGGACCAATCAAGCTGATGTATTATTTTCTCACTCTCTTTCCCATACACCTATGAATAAGTGTTTTCCCTAAAGTCAAAAACACCATTCTTATTCAAATTCGAAAATTCTGAATTCTCGGCGAGATTCAAGTGTTCTTGAATCAAGGTGTTGACCCTTGGATTAACACCAATTCAAGTCAAACCAAATCAATGAGAAAATTAAGCCAAAAATTAGCTCAAAAACTCAAAATCATTCGTCAAAAGAATCAAATGAGAAAATAGAAATTGTCCACAAATCATTTTGGTCGAAAGAAATGAATTTGTAATATATATATATATCTATATCTATATATATATTTTGTTTATGAATTTGATAGACGAAATTTGTTGTTACAAGACTTAGGTCAAGATGAGGGATAAACTCTCTTCTACACCTATTCATTTTTAGAGCTTTTAGTCACTCTTGAACTCAGTTTGACTCATTAAAGTTTGAGTTCAGCTCCACTTGTTTAATAAACGAAACAAGCTCAAGCTCCCATGAAGCTCAGAGTCTCGATTCGACTCAACTTGAGTAAGGCTCCAAAATATAACTTTTGTATAATATTCAACAGTTTGGTCGTTAATCATCGATATCGGCTCATTAATTTTTTTGTTTTTTGTTTGGTAATAGGCTCATTAACGTTAATATTGATAAACGATACCATTCAGCTTCAGTTTAGCCCATTCTGCAACAAAAGCCTGACATTAATGGCTGCCATGAAGAAATCAGCCGTGACACACCACTATCCTTGTACCTCGACGGCGTATTCCCCGCCAACACTCTCCGGCTGCCACCTCTCTCCTCCCTATCACCGTCAACTATCCTTTCAGGTTCCGATTCAACTGTTTTGCATCTGTTCATATTTCATGCCAAGTTTCCACTCTAGGTGTTTGTTATATTGCTGAGTAGAGGATTTTAACCTCCGATGAAATCGACAGTGCTTACCTTCTGGGTTTTGTGGGCCCCCCCGTTTTCTTCCAGCATCGATCACCTAAGGTTGGATGGTGATTTTTTTCTTTTTTATTTTTTTTTTTATTTTTTTTTACTGCTCTCTTTAACGCTTATTTACTCCTTATGAAATTAGATTACCACTGTGCTTCAACACATGTCCTCTTTTTTTTGAGCGAATTTGGTGCTCAAGGCCATTGTTATTAGTGGTTGTACCTCACAAAATGCTTCTGACATGTGGGGGCAAAGGCTGGTCTTTTGGTTTGTTATTTGATCAATTCTTGAAATGTTGTGATTCAATTGGCAAACCATTTTGTGTTTTGTGAAATTTGTGTATGTTGATGATTAGATTCCCACTACCCCATTGGAAAAAAAACAGAAAATGGGGGGAGATAAGATAAGTTGTATCCAATAGACTGCATATACTATTTATAGACCGATATAATGTTCCACAAAATTGTCTGGTTATTTATTTTGTCTCGTTTTTTTATGCCGGGTTGTGTTCCTAGGCCATCACTAGACTGCACTAGAGATGTTGGGTTTGGCATCAAATAGTCGAAATGCAACTATAGCTTATGACTATTCACAGGTACTTTCTACACAGAAGAAACACTCGTTTCCATCTGAAACGGAATAGAATCCGTCTTTTTTATTTATTTTTTTTAAGTAAAGAACCGATATTTTTTCTAACTCGTGTGGAAGTTAGTGGAATATGTGTGGCGAGGGGCACTACATGCATGTGATGCTATGTTATGATTCAGAACAGTGGTTTGGAGCAAGTGTGATTAACTCAATCTGATAAGCTCTGACAAAAATAGTGAATACTGAATAGTGGCTTTGGTTTTGTAAACTTCACATACCCGGTTGGGGTCTAATCTATACTGTTTCCATTCTACGTGCTTGTTTCGTACTTAAATCCCAAACCAGAAATATAGACAGAGTTTGTATATTATTACAAAGGGATGGTGAATGGAAATACCTTTCTGAATATTTTCGATGATTTCTATTTCTCTGATTATAAGTCAACAGATAACTCTGTAAAATTGTGCTTGGTTTTTCCCATTGTGAGTTGATTAGTTGAGGGGAGAAGATGGTTGAGTGTACTTAAGTCAACATCCTAAAGGATAGCTCGTCGTGGTAAATTGCATACCCTTATATCGCCATTTTTTTTTTTTTGGGATCTCAACCTTTATCTCTTACTATATTTGTTTTTGTTTTTCTTCGATGCCAAGAAGACCAATGGAACTTATAATTCACTATAGTAAATTCTATACCATTATGTCATTCCATTTATCAGAACCTTGACTTTTTCCCCTTACTACATTTGATTTTGTTTTTTCTTGGATGTTAAGAAGGCAACTAGTGGAACTTGTGTAATTCAATGGATCACTATTAGTTATTTATAGGGCTATGTGTGGCTAATATTTCCTACTCTTTTTTCTTCTTCCAAAAGATTCCCTCTTGTTTTGGAAGTGCATCGATTCATAATTATTTGAAATACTTTCCTAGTCCACATGCTATAACTTTCTTGGATGTTGACCCATAGTACTAAAAATCCCTCAACATTTCAAGATGAATTCAATAAATTATTGTGTACATGTTTAGTTTATGTTGACAATTGTTTGTCTTTCAAGTGGCTGATCATGCTCAAAATAATTAGGTTCCTTTTTTTTCAAGACAGATTGTATTTTGCATTTGTTTTTACTTTCTTCAAATGCTGTTAGGATTACATGTTTGCATTATTTCAGTTGCTTTATTTTTTGGACCTGGACTGAGGACTCACTAATAAATCAAGGAAGCCAAGCTTGGCACGTAAACAAGGACTGATAGATTGGGTCCAAGTGCAGTCATACAAAATGACTCTTGGTGAAGGAGCTTATGGGCATCGCATTGTATGGTAAACTTAATTGAGTAATCAACTTTCTGTATAGTTACCTTAAAAAAAAAATATTACTATTATTTTTCAACTGCGCTCTAGTATATCAACAGAGAGCATTAGATTGTTCGTAGCTGTAGATGTGGTGCATTTATATTTCTGTGTGGACGATAATTTGTAGAAGTGCGTGTGTTTAGATTTTACTTTTCAACTACCAAGCCGTTGTAGCTAAGTTTCACATGAATGATCCAAGTAATTTTGTTGTTTTCGTGATCTGAGGTTTTAATCATTTTGCTTGACTCCGATTTTCAATATGTTAATGGGTTCTACTTGTTCATTAGATGCTAAGATGTTATGTAACTATTGTAATGCGGCAAGCTATATGGCAATAGTACTCATTTTCAAGCAACTTGAACATGTGTTTATATACCGAAGTGGATTGTTTCATAAAACAGCTGATCAAACAGTGAACTTCTTTTGAAAGCAAATCAGTACACAATTATAGGAATTATCTATGTACAATCATGTGATTTGATTTATTTTCTATCTAAAGAACGGAAGTTGCCTAGAAAAAAATTGGAACTAAAATTTCCTTATTTTTTCTGTTAGAAGTTCTAGAGTTTTTAATGTCCTTCATATTTTACTGTGATTGTTAAATTTGTTGTGCCATTATTTGTAGGGTAATTGGAGCTGTCATGTAACGAGTATCCGGGCTTGTAAACAGCCGATTTTCGAAAATAAGACTAAAGAATACAGGGGATGAGGACACAACACACATATCACAGGTTATTTTTCTAATCCCCCAACTATTATTCTTCCTCGAGGAAGCATACCTATCGAAGTTTATTCTTATTACATGGTCAAATGTACCTGAAATACGCCATTCAATTTATGCTTGAAAAGGTTCTGTTTAATAAACTCAGTCTCTGTTCAATTCGGAAAATTGACAACCTACACATATATCAGTTTTTTTTTTTGGGTACATTTTTTTAAGTCATATATCAGTTGATATTTAAGTCATGATGTGAACTCCTTAGATGATTGAAAATTGACAATCAAAGTTAATTGCAGAAAAGGACCCCTACCCAGACCATACATGCAGAAA